ATATTTTATCAAACAGCTTCGTAGATCTCGACTACTTTAATACTTACTTCGATCAAACCCGCCTATATAATTATTGATAAACATTCGTTTTGTAAACTTCATAGATCTTGACTTTGACGCTTGCTTCGATCAAACCCGTCTATATAATTATTTGAATAATTGATAATAATAAAACGTTGATAAATATATTTTATCAAACAGCTTCGTAGATCTCGACTACTTTAATACTTACTTCGATCAAACCCGCCTATATAATTATTGAATAATTGATAATAATAAAACGTTAATTAAATACATTTACAAACAGCTTCATAGATCTCGACTTTAAGACTTACTTTGATCAAACCCGCCTATAATAATAAACGTTCGTTTTGGAAACTTGATTTGCAAATAGATCTTGACTTTAACACTTGCTTCGACCAGGCCCGCCTATATAATTATTTGAATAATTGATAAAGCGCTCATTAAATATATTATGCAACCAGATTCATAGATCTTGACTTTTAACACTTATTTAGATACAAGCTATTCAATAATTGATCAGTATATTTTACAAACTTGCTTTGGCAGCTTCGTATGTTGTCATACATCTTGTATTTAACAGTCTACTTTTGAATTTTTTTTTTAGATTACACAATAAAAATTGTGGAATAAATTTAATCCAATGAAATGGTTAGTATCCCATATTTTGCACAACTTGAAAAAAAGTTGATATATAAGTCATAGAATTGGTTTAATAGTATCGGTCAGGGAAAAGTCATGCAATGATGAAGTACCGTGTAAGACCATCCTGTGTCCGGCTCCCTTAGGTGCAATGCCTCACTTTGGACCGGCTGTAAAGTCCCGCGTGTTAAGGAGGTGGCACTGACGCGGGTGGCTCATGTTGGGTGTTGACCCCTCGTGACATGACCCTCCTTTTTGTTAATTTTTATTATTTATTTTATTTAGTTAAGGAAACATTTTTAAAAAATTAAAAAAAGATAAATTTCGCTAATTGGTTACATTTGTAATATATGAAGATCCATCAAGGACAAGATCTATGAATGAAATATTCTAATGAACATTTTATTAATTATTCAAGAGTTGGTATAAGAGTAATCGAAGTAAGTTATAAGGACAAGATCTATGAATGAAATATTCTAACAAACATTTTATTAATTATTCAAGAGTTGGTATAAGAGTAATCGAAGTAAGCTTTAAGGAAAAGATCTATGAATGAAATACTCTAACGAACGTTTTATCAATTATTCAAGAGTTGGTATAAGAGTAATCGAAGTAAGTTATAAGGACAAGATCTACAGTGTGATTCAAAAAAAATGGTGGTTTGTAAAATATTGTTTTTAATGAAAAAGTAGCCAAAATTATGTAATAAAAATTATACCAGAGAATTGGAAGATCTTGGATTATAATATAGAAAAGTTTTGAAGTATATTGTTATGTGGGCTTTAGAGCAATTATTAAAGAAATTTACACATTTGAATGGTTTTTTCAAATAATCAAATTCCTTTTATTTTCAAT